TCCCTCCCTCTGGGGCTGGAAAACACAAAATCTACTACCCTGCCCCCCTCCCCCTCCCCCAGGCTCTGGTGGGGTGAGGGGAATGAGGGAAGGATCTGTCTCCTTCTCTATGAGTTTGGGGTTTTGATTTTTGCTTCTCACTTGTGTGCAGCCCCCAGCTGATTTTTCTGTGGGGCGGCAGCCCCCCACCCAAAAAAGGATCCAAAGCCCTGCTTTAAGCTGCAGGCTACAGACAGGACTCAGCGTGTGGGTTCCCAAACAGGGGGGCATGAAGAAATTCCAGGGGGGCGTAAGTGACCTAGCCTCCCTCCCATCAAGTTTTGCTGCCCTGTTCAGTTCCTTTTTTTTTCTTTTTGCTCAGCAAGTTTTGCTGCTATTTGGGGAGCGGGCGTGAGGGTTTTTCAAAAATCAGAAAGGAGGGCATGATGCCAAAAAGTTTTGGAACTACTGCTCTAGTGAAGACAGAACCCTCTTGGCTCGCTAGCTCCCAGTTTAACCAAAAGCCACCTGGTGGTAGCCAGAGTCCCCACACAGGGTCTCAAACGTCTGTGTCAGAAGTACCCAGATATTCTCCCAGTTAGGCTACGTCTAGACTGGCATGATTTTCCGCAAACGCTTTTAATGGAAAAGTTTTTCCGTTAAAAGCATTTGCGGAAAAGAGCGTCTAGATTGCAACAGACACTTTCCTGCAAAAGCATTTTTTGCAGAAAAGTGTCCGTGCCAATCTAGACGCGGTTTTGCGCAAGAAAGCCCCGATCGCCATTTTCGCCATCGGGGCTTTTTTGCGCAAAACAGTTTTTAGCTGTCTACACTGGCCCTCTTTCACAAAAACATTTCTGGAAAAGGGCTTTTGCCCGAACAGGAATGTCAAAGCATTTGCACAAAAACCACTGATTTCAGACAGTAGAACGTCAGTGCTTTTGTGCAAAATCAAGTGGCCAGTGTAGACAGCTGGCAAGTTTTTCCGCAAAAGCAGATGCTTTTGTGGAAAAACTTGCCAGTCTAGACGCAGCCTTAGTCTACATCTAGACTGGCATGATTTTCTGCAAATGCTTTTAAAGTTTTCCGTTAAAAGCATTTGCGGAACAGAGCATCTAGTTTGGCACGGATGCTTTTCCGCCAAATCACTTTTTGCGGAGAAGTGTCCGTGCCAATCTAGACGTGCTTTTCCGCAAAAAAGCCCAGATCGCCATTTTCGCGATCGGGGCTTTTTTGCGCAAAACAAATCTGAGCTGTCTACACTGGCCCTTTTGCACAAAAGCTTTGCGCAAAAGGACTTTTGCCCGAGCAAGAGCAGCATAGTATTTCCGCAAAAAGCACTGATTTCAGAGAGTAGGAAGTCAGTGTTCTTGCGGAAATTCAGGCGGCCAGTGTAGACAGCTGGCAAGTTTTTCCACAAAAGCAGCTGCTTTTGTGCAAAAACTTGCCAGTCTAGACACAGCCTTAGAGTTTACAAAAGAATTTCTTCTATTTTCTGGCAAAGCCCATGGAAGCTCATGAGCTTATGTGTATTTTGGTTAGTTTTAAGGCCTGCCAGGACCACCCGTTGTTTTTAAAGTTACAGACTAACGCAGCTGCCCCTCTGAGACTTTTCAGTTTGTTGGCATCCTATCACTCTCAGGCATCGAGAGAAAAGATAACGAAAGCGTATCAATTTGGATGTACCAAGTTAGCCCCGAATCCAGTGAGACAGGAAGTTTCCCAAAGGCTGAAACTGCTAAATACTCACTAACTATAGCAGAGAACTCTGATGACAAATTCCCGCAGTGTAGACATAGCCTTATGTGACTGGTTCCATAGCCCGGTGCCTGGGGCGTTTTCACGTGCTCTGTGACCCAATGAATATCTGAGTATTTTATACAACACCGGCTGGAGCGATTGACAGGTACCCACCCTAGAATACCCCACAGCCTGACACTCTGCCAGGAGTGTGCTCTAACCATGGGAATAAACACTGGTGCTACCCCCAGTGTGTTTTGTGAATCTAGTCTTTGACGAGGAGGAGGAGTCCTGGTGCAACCCTCACCAAGGGTCACTGCTGCTGACCTGAATGTGTTTAATAGGTAGCAGGTTTAAAACAAACACAAGGAAGTTTTCTTCACGCCACACACCGTTAACCTGTGGAACTCCTTGCCACAGGAGGTTGTGAAAGCCAGGACCTTAACAGAGTTCAAAAAAGAGCTAGATAGATTCATGCGGGAGTAGGTCCATCAATGGCTATTAGTCAGGATGGGCAGGGAGGATATCTCTAGCCTCTGTTTGTCAGAAGCTGGGAATGGGTGACAGGGGGATGGATCACGTGATGGTTCCGTTCCGTTCCCTCCCTCTGGGGCACCTGACCTTGGCCACTGTCGGCAGACAGGACACTGAGCTAGATGGACCTCTGGTCTGACCCACTATGGCCGTTCTTATGTACGTTCTTCTTGACCCTCGCCTGCTCCCCAGCCCAATCTCTGGAACTTCGGTGGCTGCACCGACCCCTTTCAAGCCCTTCTCTGTCCCCAGCAGCCACGGGGCCCCACCGGGCCTGCCGTGCGGGAACAGAAACTGATCAGCATGGCAATATGAGCGTTGCAAAGAGAAACCTATCCCATGACCCCTTTCCCACCCACTCCTGTTCTGCTTTCTCTGCCAGGGGGAAGTAAATTAAAGCAAAACCAGAAAAGGGAAATGACTGTGGCAGCGTATGACCACCCAGGGGATGTGTGTGGGGGTGGAGGCGGGGGGATTGCAATAACCGATTTAGATCAGATTCAACCATCTGCCAGTTGCTCGTTTATCTTCTGCGGCTGCTTCTCCCCCATTCCCTTGTCTTCCCTGGCAACCAACGTGCCTTCTAATCTTTTGCGCAGTTTTTTTCCATCCCGGTGTAGAATAAATATTGTTCTGTGCACCAAGTCCTGTGAGAATGTGCACCACCCATAGAATCACGCAACCTAGCTGTGGGCGTGCTGCTAATCAGCTGGGCAGCATTGGAATTTCTCCTGAGTGCCCACCCCCGCCACACACAGCAACTACAGGCCGGGGTCTGCCGTGGCACGCAAATGTGGTTGCAGGAAATCAGGTCAGCAAAACGCTTGAAAAAAATCACAACCAGGCGCATGCGAGGCTGTCCTGTTTCTGGTGCTTTTTAAACAAATTCCTTGGCCCGTTTCTTAGCGAGGAGCCTGGTTTTCTTCAGCAGCTGCGTCTACAAGGGGGCTGAGTGAGGTTTTCAGGCAGAGGCAGTGCAATGTTACAGCCTGGCTGGCTGCCTGATTGGGGCACAGCCAGTTTCTGAAATCACCCCCCAGCCACTGCATTGAGCCCGGCGTGCCTGTGAGAAAGGAGAGCTCTGTCTCAGAGCCCTGAGACATCTGTGGGCCTCAGGCCCAGAGCCTCTGGGTGTCTGGCTTTGTCTCCGCCCCTGCCCCACCTCTTCCTGCTCTAATTCTGCCCCGTCCCACTCCATCCTTTTCCCCAAGCCCCGCCCCTTCCCAGCCCAGCTCCGCCCCCTCCCCAAGTGACACACCGGGGGGATTATGGTGGTGGGGGGGGAGAGGACCTGGCACTGGTAGCAGGGGTCGGGCGCTCCCTGTACTCCCCAGGGCCAGGTGACTCTGCTTCCGGCTGCCACGCTGATGTGTAGGGACCCAGCTGGGAGCTGTCGGAGCGGAGCAGGGCTGCGCGTTTTCGCAGAGCTCGCCACAAGCGCCTCCCCGTGATTCTTTGCTCCCTGCCTCACGCCCTTGGCTTGGTCACAGGGTTTTACAGCAGCAGGGTGGACAATGGGCCCCGTTCATGGTCCCGTCCGGCCCCTTTGTACCAGCACAGCACAGACACAAGCCAGGCACCAAATTCTGGGGGTGACATTGGCCCTTGAGAGCCGCAGGGTCAGGAACGGGGGCCCGTTGATGTCCTACGGCCTTGAGGCAGAGCAGAAAAGACTGATCAGTCCCAAAGATGCGAGGAGCCGTTGTGATTGGCTAAGCCTGAGCCCCCGAAGCGCACTAGTCAAAGAGCAGCTCTCAATGATTTCCCGTGTGAACAAGAGCAGACGGTTTCGGAATACACCCACTCCAGAATGAAAAATCTACTGGAGTGGGGATTTTATTCATATTTAAATAATGAAAAAGCGTTAGTCCCAGATACCCTATCATGTTATTAGTGATATACAGACTCAAGGCCCTTTGGGTTTGGGGTTTTATTTTGTTTAACGTTTCCTAGGACTCTATCCATGTTTATTTCAATCAATCAATCAATACAATAAAAAAAGCTAAAGATCAGTGCAAAAGAAATCAACTTCACAGTTTTCTGAATAAATATTGGAGGACAGAAAAAAAGCACCTAGTAGAGGAAAATAGAGCTCCTGAAAGTAAAATCAGTTTAATGCTGTGGTTTGGATTATGAACTGCACCATGTAGGCACTCACATATGTGGGGTGGTGTCTCTTCTACTTTCATAGAAAGTTTCATGTTTACACTTAGACAACTTATTACTAATGTGAACTCACCTACCTAATGTTATGTACTAGATTTTTTAAAACATAATGGCTACGTCTACACTGGCACCCTTTTCCGGAAATGCTTACAATGGAAAACTTTTCCATTATAAGCATTTTCGGAAAAAGCGCATCTACATTGGCAAGATGCTTTTCCAGAAAAGCACTTTTTGTGGAAAAGCATCCGTGGCTAATCTAGACGCGCTTTTCCGCAAAAAAGCCCCGATCGCCATTTTCGCGATTGGGGCTTTTTTGCGGAAACAAATCTGAGCTGTCTACACTGGCCCTTTTGGGCAAAAGGGACTTTTGCCCGAATGGGAGCAGCATAGTATTTCCGCAAAAAGCACTGATTTCTTACAGTAGGAAGTCAGTGGTAGATCGTCAGTGCTTTTCCGGAAATTCAAGGGGCCAGTGTAGACAGCTGGCAAGTTGTTCCGGAAAAGCGGCTGATTTTCCGGAATAAGTGGCCAGTGTAGACACAGCCAATCAGTATTTTTATCTGCTGGTGAGTAGTATTCCCTGTAAGCTGAATGTTTGGGCAGCCATCCAGGAGAAATTCAAATGCCGCCCAGCTGCTTGGCAGAACACCCACATCTGGTGCACATTCACTTATGTCTTGGGTGCACAAAACAAAATTTATCCTATACTTGGATGGGAAAAAAATAGAGAGAACATTATCTGGTGCACATTCACATATGTCTTGCGTGCACAAAACAAAATTTATTCTATACTTGGATGGGAAAAAAATAGAGAGAACATTGCTGGAGAGGTCCAAAGTTTGGGTGAAAATTGGTTTCAAAAAAAGCATTTGTAACACCCAAGAATTTTTTTGGTAAAAACTCAAAACATCATAAGCACTCTGTACCATAAGCATTACAATAAGCATTCAGCCAAGAGACTCAGCCAGCCAGACACCTAACGAAACTCCTTCCCAAATTCTTATTCCAGTAGCAATTGATGGCTGCCTGACAAAAGAAGAAATTTATTTGAGCTGCTTTTCCGTTGAGGAAGAAGGTGGTAGTTAGTTGCCCTTCAAACCTATTGCGTTATCAAACCTCCCTCTTTCCTTAACAATATCTGTGGTTTGTGCTTGCCTCGCTGGAGATTAGCAGCCGGTGAGATGTGTATCTCCCCCTGCACACTCGCCACTACAGTCACTCAATAACTCCCACCTGCTGCTTCCTGAGCATTTTCCCACAATCCCCACAAGCAGGGAGCCTCCAACCACCTGTTCGGGTGAGCAGGGGCAGGTGCAGTGGGGTTATTCTCAGACCCCCTTTTGTTTTTGAGGGAGACCATAAGGAGATTCTGCTTCAGAATCTCACCTTCACCATCTCCGCAGCAGGGCCGGATTCACAAGCAGACTGAGAGATGCGAAGGCCAGAAGGGCCCATCATAATTAACCAGTCTGAATTCCTGCCCCCTGCAGGCCCCAAAGCAGTGTTTCTTAAACTTTTTAAAACGGAGGAACACCAAACAATAATTTTTTTTTATGGGGAACACCAATAATTTTTTTTGTTGTTGAAAAAAAAAAAGGAGGCTTGCCCCTTTAAGGGCGGCCATTTTGAATTCTGTTCTTTCCGCGGAACACACTTTTAAGAAACGCTGCTGTAGCGGGTTGATGATGAAGCTGTTCCTGTAGGGGCAGGAAGAAGAAGAGCCTTATGGGTAAGGCACAGGACGGGGAGTTTTTTTATCAGGAGAGCAGGCATTTTAAGGGCAGCCATTTTGAACTTTATTCTCTGCGGCACACCTCCAACTGCCTCGCAACACACCAGTGTGCCAGGGAACTTTAAGAAACACTGCCCCAGAGCATCACCCAGCCCCTTCCTCTGCACCACACCGGCCATAGAACCTGACTCCCTCCCTCCCACTTTGGCTCACACCAGCAAGGGACCCGTGCCTCAAGCTGCAGGGAAACGGGAGCTCTCCCCCTCCTGCCCCACAGAGTCTCTGCCCATCTGACCCGCGGGAAATTCCTTCCTCACCCCAAATACGGTGATCACTCGGGCTATGTCTAGACTGCAGGCTGCTTTCAAAAGAGGCTCTTTCGAAAGCATCTTTCGAAAGAGCCTCTTTCGAAAGATCGCGTCTAGACTGCAGGCGGATCTTTCGAAAGAGCAATCTGCTTTTTCGAAAGAGAGCACCCAGCGAGTCTGGATGCTCTCTTTCGAAGAAGCCCTATTTACATGGAAGAACGCCTTCTTTCGAAAGAGGAACTTTCGAAAGAAGGCGTTCTTCCTCGTGAAACGAGGTTTACCGCCATCGAAAGAAAAGCCGCGGTCTTTCGAAATAATTTCGAAAGAACGCGGCTTGAGTCTGGATGCAGGGGAAGTTTTTTCGGGAAAAGGCTACTTTTCCCGAAAAAACCCCTGAGTCTGGACACGGCCTCGGAGCCTGAAGCTATGTCTATACTACAGAATTTTGTCGGAAAAACAGCTGTTTTTCCGACAAAACGTGAGGAATGTCCACACTGCAATTGCAACCGGGCATTGCCCACTGCACTGGGCACATGGTGCGTTCTGACGGAGAAGCGCATGATTAAAATCACCCATTTTGAGTGACGTTCTCTTTCTTCCTGGTAGGCGGAGACACAGCGGTCTCGGTGCAGTGTGTTCAACCAATGGCACAACAGGATTCCGAAGCAACAAGTGAGAACAGGAAATAATAATTATTTCGGTCTTCATGAAAAAAGAGCCTGCAATGTGATTGGCAGAGGGACAAACAAATCCAGATGGGTTGCTTCTTTTTTTCACGAGGGATGAAAACAGAGTAGAAGGAGTTTTTGTTGTGCTTTGGTTCATTCTTGTATTTTTTTTTACATTAGTCATTTGGGCCTTTTGTACCCTGAATGACTCTATGGCCAGCTGGAGATCTGGTGTAGAGAGAGGCTGAGAATCTGAAATTCTATGTGTGCCCTATCTCGGAAGGACTACTATAGGACAAAAGGGGGTCAGAGAAGAGCGATGAGAAGGACCAAGGGTCTGGGAAAACTTTCCTGTCAAGAGAGCTCGCAAGGGATTCTTACCTTGGAGAGGAGATGGGTACACGGGACAGGAAAATGGATGGGACAGAGATGGTAGATCCGTATCTCTGAGCACACGCACCTAGGGGACAGTCAAGGAAATGGAAAGATGAGGAATTCCAAATGGACCAGAGGAAACACATTGTCATGCACTGGGGAATTAAACTGTGGAACTCACTGCTAGGGGACATCAACCAGTGATGTTAAGGCCGAGAGCTTAGGGAAACGCACAGAGGGATTGAACATTGGTGTGGAGCATGGGATGAGCCGGAGTTGTTATGATGCTAACAACAGTGTTGGCCGAGATATTATCTTCTTACCCTTAGAGAAGCACATTCAACACAGCTTGTCAAATGGCTTACCATGCTCTCTAATGGGCTCGGAGCCCCTCAAGCAGGCCAAGCGTGGGCTGTGTGGAGGCGGGGATAGCAAGGATTGGGGACTTCCAGTCGCCTTGGGATCCGGGGGGGAAGCAGTGATGGAGACATTCAAAAGAAGGGAGCAGGTGGGGGGCCTGGGCATAGGACACAGCCCTGAGGCCTGTGTGGAGGGGAAGGAAAGTGGCTTGATTGTATGACCTCACCACGAATGTCGGTTTCTTTTGTTTTCTGGTAGGTGGAGGGGTGGGGACTTTAATGCTGCCTGGTCAGGCAGCAGCAGATGAAAGAAGTGATGCTGGTAAATAATTGTATTCCATGTAGCACCTAGAAACAGAAGCTGGGCCCCCCTTGTGCCCCAGAGGGAATGAACAGAACAGGAAATCCTCACGTGATCCCTCCCCTGTCACCTATTTCCAGCATCTGACAAACAGAGGCTAGAGACATCATTCCTACCCCTTCTGGCTAACAGCCATTGATGGGCCTAATCTCCATGAATGTATCTAGCTCTTTTTTGAACCCTATTAAAGTCCCAGTCTTCACAAGATCCTCTGGCAAGGAGTTCCACAGGTTGATTTTGCACTGCATGAAGAAATACTTCCTTTTGTTTCTTTGAAAACTGCTGCCTCTTCATTGTATCAGCTGACCCCTGGGTTTTGTTTTGCGAGATGGGCAAATCACACTTTTCTAGTCACTTGATTTTATAGTCCTGTTTTCCCCCTCCCGCTTAGTTATCGCTTTTCTAAGCTGAACAACCCTCATCTTTTTAATCTTTTCTCGTCTAACCGCCGTTCCAGGCCCTTAATCATCAAAGAGCTAGATTTATCCTCTGTAACAAGACGCACTTAACACATCACGGCAACTTTCCTGTCCCAGCTGTGTTTGCTCTCGAACCATTTGCTACTCGCCTTAGATGGCTACATTTTATTCTGCAGATTTCAGCCTGAAGTGCCTTAAAGAGAAGCGGATCCCGATTCTCGTTATCGTCGTCATCACCGCTTTGATCATCACCATCATTGCGCTGGCAGGTGAGTGAAGGGTCCAGTCCCTGATGCGTCGCTGAGGGCTGGTCCTAGTCCCACGATCACCCCCATCGCCTTTCTCACGGCCTCCTCTCCCTGTCTGTGCCTGGCCTGACTCCTCTGTCGAATCATGTTCCCCTTTTCAGGAACTCTCTCCAGAGCCTTTTCCTGGTCACAGAGTGAGACAGGGGCTTAGATTCCCAGCAGCCACAGCCTACCCCGTGCCGGCGGGAAGGGCGATGGTTCAGTGCCCCTGATAGGGCAGGGCTTGGGGCGGAAGGGGTGGGTCTGAGGACTAGCCCCTCCCCACTAGAGTTTTCTGGGGCCAGAGGCTTTGAATGATAAACCCAGCAAAGAGCTCGCGGCTCCGGCCCCGGCCGGCGAAGGGCCGGGACTGGGAGCCATTTAAATAAGAGCCTGAGCCACCTCCTAGAAATTCGGTAACGGGGCAGCAGGATATAACTAGAAAGCAGCCAGATGTTAGGCGGGTCCAGGCTGCATCTTGCCCAGCCCTGGTGAATGGGATGGATTGGGGTTGTGGCCAAGGCAGGCTGCAGTACAGTTGTTCTGTGCTGCCCTGGGTAAGTTAGAACATGGGTTCCCAAACTGGGGGTAGGCGGGTCCAGGCTGCATCTTGCCCAGCCCTGGTGAATGGGATGGATTGGGGTTGTGGCCAAGGCAGGCTGCAGTACAGTTGTTCTGTGCTGCCCTGGGTAAGTTAGAACATGGGTTCCCAAACTGGGGGAGTGAGAGGAACCCCCAGTTCTGCTCTGAGTTACACCAGGGATGAGTTACACGGAATGCCCTTGGAATACAGGAAAGTGCGACCAGCATCCCTTCAATATACGCCGACATCCACGCCTGCCCAGTCTGCTAAGTGCCCGCATCTCTGCCCCCTAGTTAACGTGTCTGTATTGGAGGAATCACACGGCTCCTAAGAATTTCCTGAAGCCGTTTCAGGCTTTTTGGTTTGCAAAAACATTGGACTTCTCTCCCTGACTCGGGAAGGAAAAAATTCCTTTTGCAGAGTGCTGGGAAAACCGTTTCCAGAATCCCTCCTGTGAGGCCCTTTGCCCTCCGTTTTAGTGGTGGCTTCGCAATTTTTCCCACTCACCTTTTCCACCCATGTGCAGAATGCTTTTTGTTATGTGCACCGAGGTGCATATTTAAAATGAATTCCGCACATGGATGGCAAAAATCCACATATGGATGGAAAAGAGGAGAGGGAACGTTAGATGCGGTGGATTCTCTGTTCCTGGACATTTTTAAATCACGATCGGATGTTGCAGAAGCTCTGCTCCAGGGATTATTTGGGGGCACATGTAAGCCCGTGTTACGCCGGAGGTCAGGTTCCCCATTCTGCTCTTGGCATCTATGAAAAACAACACAGGCTGTAGAGACGGGGGGTCTTTGTGCCCTCCTGAGCAGGGATTCCCACGCAGACAGAGCCCCCAGGGGTGCGTCCCTCTCTCACCACTGTGCTATTTGCTTATTTTCAGCCAAGAAAACTCCCCCCTGCCCATCTTGCTCTCTCCATGTCACTGCCGCGTGCCCGGACGGCTGGGTTGGATTCCAAGGGAAATGCTCCTACTTCTCGGAGATGGAACGGAACTGGACCACCAGCCGGAACCACTGCGCTTCCCTCAATGCCTCCCTGGCCACTGTCGATTCCCTGGCGGAGCTTGTAAGCAAGACACAGGGCACCTCCACAATCACAGATAAGGATGTGCCAGAGCCTGGCGCCCCCTGCAGGATTAAGACAGCCCCTGCCTCTAAACCCTAAAATCTCCCAGCAAATGCTGAGGGTTGCAACTTAAGTGTGGTTGCATAGACATGCAAATAGATATGCAAATATATGCAAATAGCTTCTAGCACACTGACAGGCATGAATACAAAGATTAAGGCAAGGCTACACCACACACAGGCAAACCAGCGCAGCAGCATAGAACTAATGAGGCTCCCCCAGCCCTGATCCTAGCAATTAGCGAAAGCACGAGAGGCTTCTTAATCCTTGTTATACAGATGGGGGAAACTGAGGCAAAGCAACTGGTCCATCAAATACAGGCAGAATGTGGCCACTGTGGGACTTTTGCCCGAACAGGAGCAGCATAGTATTTCTGCAAGAAACACTGATTTCTTACATGAGATCGTCAGTGTTCTTGCGGAAATTCAAGCGGCCAGTGTAGACAGCTGGCAAGTTTTTCCGCAAAAGCAACTGTTTGTGCCGAAAAACTTGCCAGTCTAGACACAGCCATGTTGAAAAGGTTTCTCGCTGCTTCAGCATAACATTTGCACACTTTTCTTGCTGGCAAAAGTTTGGGAGGTTTTTTTTTTTTTTAGGCAGGTTTCCACGCTTCTTTCCCACACTTTTTACCTTTGACATCATAAAATGATGGGGGGAAAAGCAGAAATGGACAGAGCCCCTTTGTAGCTGGGCTGGAAGGTCTTTGGGTGAGATTCCTGCTTTCTCTGTGTGTACAGCACCTAGCGCCCGAGAGCTGTGAACTCCGTAAGGACTGCTGTGATACCAGTAAGGATATATTGTGTGCTTTTTCCCACCCCGCAGGCTTTCATGCTGCGCTATAGAGGCCTCCCTTTTCACTGGATCGGCCTCCAGAGAGAACAAGACCAGGGCCAGCCGTGGAAATGGACCAACGGTACCATATTCAACAACCTGTACGTCCGTCTTCCTTGTTCACTCCCTTATTATTAGGCCACAACAAAGCCCTCGGCTTTGGGTGGGGAACAGTGCCTGAAAGTATCAGAGGGGTCGCCGTGTTAGTCTGAATCTGCAAAAGCAACGAGGAGTCCTGTGGCACCTTATAGACTAACTGAAGTGTAGGAGCATAAGCTTTTGTGGGCAAAGACCCGCTTTGTCAGATGCATGACATGCATCTGACAAAGTGGGTCTTTGCCCACGAAAGCTTATGCTCCTACACTTCAGTTAGTCTATAAGGTGCCACAGGACTCCTCGTCGCTAGTGCCTGAAAGTGAAATTGCAGAATCTTAAAAGCCGGAGCCTTTGCTACCTGAACTCTGGGGCTAATTCTCGGGAGGTGATACCTGCAGGAGAGTTGAGAAACTCTTTTCCAGTGAACTCACCAGAGGACAGCGAGCCCCTCTGGGTTAATGTCGCTGACACATGTGGGACTGGTTGGAAAAATTCCAACTCAAGAGTTTGCCCTGGTCATGCCAAAAGCAAAATTGGCTGCAGGAAAAGGTCACTTGGGATGAGGTTTTCCGTTGCAGAAATTGAGTCCCAATGTTCATTTTTCTCTTTATCCAGACGGAAACATTTTCATTTGCGCATGGAGCCTCTGCAGCACATCATGGGAACTGTCTTCGCGGGGCCTTTCGGCTCCATTGGTCCCTGGTCTTTAACCAACAACATCTCCCATGATGCACTGCAGTGGCTGGCATATCAGTGTTCTTACGTGCTGCTTCAGCAGTAGGGAGATGCTGCAGTGCATCCTGGGAGATGTAGTCCAGCTGGGAGCCAGGGCCTGTTGGAGACAACAGGGCTGGAGGAAGGAAGAACTACAATTCCCATGATGCATCAGCTCCACAGTCACTCTTTAAAAGGCTTCATTTGTGGTACCCCTAAATCCTAAATATTTTGGAGAGAATTTCTGTCCAGTGGGAAATTTTAAATATTTTTGACTCTTCGTCCCCATTCTGGAGGAAAACCCGTCAAAACACAGAGATTCCCCTCAATATGGAAATTCTGTTGGGCACATGGGTTCAACCCTAAATCATTCCCATTCTGTTGGGCACCCACCCTCATGCACATGGGTTCAACCCTAAATCATTCCCAAGTGCACAGTAAGGGGGAAGAGCTTCTGAGGCTACAGGACAGTGTCAGCACAAGGGATTAACTGGCCAGAAATGAATCCGGGGCTGGAAAATGAGCAGTAGTTTTCTGCCCTTCGGAGGAGGGAGGTTCTGAGGCAGCCGCCCCGTAGGAGGAACAACCGAACTAGTGAGAATACACAGCCTGACCGGGCTACAAACAGGATGATGCACTGTGGGGGCCTACAATATCTCCTCTAATTTTTCCATCCACGTGTGGAATAAATTTTGTTACATGCACCAATGCCTGTGCAGATGTGCACCACCAGTAGAAACACAAACCCAGCTCTGCTAATCAGCGGGGCGGCATTTGAGTCTTTCTTGGTTGGCTTCCCCAGTGTGCTGCCTTCAGGGAACACTGGTGGCCTACCATAGCAGGGGGGTGGACTCGGTGACCCACAGCCTGCCTTGCTGTCCTCTGTCCCCTCACACACTGGAAAGACCTGCAAGAAACTTGGCAGCCTCTGCATCCTGGTCTCTCCGAGCCTGATTTTGGTGCGCTCAGCACCCGCGGTGACATTGACAGCCGGACGTGACCAGTGCCGGGTTTCACAGCTGGCTGGCAGCAAAGTCTGGCTGAGAACCCAGCTCCCCAATAACCCCTCGCTGCGTCTTGTTGCAGGTTTGAGGTCAGAGGGGAAGGGCAGTGCGCCTACCTGAATGAGCGTGGGATTAGCAGCTCCAGGTGCCACTCGGAGAGACATTTCATCTGCAGCCGGCCAGACGAGTGCTCTCAAAGGAAGCCAAGCGCCGCAAGAGGGGGGACAGTATCGAAAATCACTTAAAGGGCCAATACAGCCTCTTCGAGGAATGGCCAGTTTTCACATGGGTCATCTCTGGTGGACCATCCTACCTTGCTGACCACAGATCCCAGCTGAAAATCCGTCTTTACGAGACTAACAGCGCCAGCCTACTGCATGGAGGCACCGTGGGTGTGGAATTACATGGCTATGACCCGTAATACGTGAAGGGCTTAATTTATTTAGATTAGGTGGAATCCCGGCTTTTATTCTATTGTTTTTAAAAGGGTGTTTCTAGCTTATTTGCTGATGAAGACACTCTGCTGAATCAAACAGAGCTTGAAACGAAGACTCAGCAAAGAGCCCAATTTATGGAACGGATGGGTTAACTCTGGAACCTAATGATGACACTAAAATCTTCCTTCTTTCTTTTTCCTCTGTCACTTCCTGGTGAGGGTCATGGACACAGCATGGAGAGTAAGGAGGACCAGGCCGGGGAGTGTGTGTGGCAGGGGGTGGCCCCAGGCCCTCAG